CCTTCCTGCCGCTCAGACTCCCACCTGGGCAGGGAGTGCGTTAAAAAGCTCATTAAATCGAATCACCTGCTGGCTCAGCCTGTCCAGATGACCAGGAGTTTTAGAGAAACATTACCCCGATGAAATGAATGTTCCATTGCAGGCTCTCTGGGAATTTAAGTTTCACTCAGTTAACTTCTTTTTTTCCCTTCCGCTTGCTCTCCTTTCCCAAAATAATAGGCCCAGAGTCCTCCAGGGGAGCTGAGTGAATTCCAAAAGGTAGGCTGTCTGCCTTTGACCGGAGGGCAGGGAGGCCGGGCTGGGGGCCAATGACGCTGGGGGCTTGTTGGAAGGTTCGTGATGTCTGAGGCGTGTTTACGGGGGACCAGTTCTGGGCTGCCCTGTGCCGGGGCCAGAGGCCCTGGTTCTCGGGAGTCCTAGTGTGGGAGGCAGGTGGGGCCGTGGGGCGTGGGGGAAATGGTGGCATGCGCTCCCGTGGCTAGAACGTGGCTGTGGACTCCTCTCTGTGTGTCGGTGACCTTCTGCAGAACAGACCAGAGCCTCACGGTCCTGAGTGGTCCTCAGAGCCAGCAGCATGTGCGGGGCCCATCACACCACTCCCTGTCTGCCTCATCCCCGGGCAGCCCGGGTCTTCTGAATGCCTGCCCTGGCCCCGCTGCACAGACAGGAAAACGGAGCTGGGTGGGCTCCAAGAGTCAGCCCGGAAGCCCAGCTGCTCTGGCCCCTGTCCTTGTCCCGGTCTTGTCCTACTCCAGTGCCCCTGCGCCCACTCACACCCCTCGCTTTGGTTGGCAGGCTCTGCGGGGTCGGCGGCGGCGAGGCCTCTGCGCCCTGCTGCGGAAGGTGTGCTGCGTGGCGCTCCCTCTGCAAGGGCTGCTGCTGCTGCTGCTGCTGCTGCTGCTCCTGCTGCCCGTCGGGGAGGACAACCGCAGCTGCTCCCTGGCCAATAACTTCGCCCGCTCCTTCAAGCTCATGCTGCGCCACTATGGGCCCCCGCCCATCTAGCCCCCGCCCACGCAGGTGACTCTGCTCTCCAGCCTCCCTGACAGCCCCGGGCCGCTGCAGAGGGTGCCCAGGGAGCTGGAGCCCGGGGACGCAGGGGGCCTACCGTGACCATGTTCCAAGAACCAGGTTCATTTGTTTGTGCCGGGCCATCTAGGGCTCTTTATCCTGAGCAACTGTGTGGGGGGCTGCAGAACCAGGCGCAGGACTGGTAGCTAGCGGTTCCATCTGTAAATGCCCAGTGCTTGTGTTTCCGTCATGGGGGAAATCCTGGGCCGCTGTAGCCTCTCTGCCATGATCTGCAAGCCATCCCAGAAATCAGCAAGGATGACATCTCACATGGAGGGCCACCCTGGATTCAGAACCCGGCCCCTGGCCCTCCATACACCACCTAGAAACTGGGCCCACGCTCCCTGGGACCTGAGGGCAGGAGCTGGACTCCCCCTTTCCCAGGGAATTCTAGGATGGTGCCGGAAAACGTTGCAACTGGACACGCCCCCTTCGTCAGCACTGTGTTCCCTTAAAGGGGGGCCTGAGTGCCCCTCTGTACCAAGGGGTTTAGTCTGTTCAGCTACAAAAGGAGAGGGGAAGGTCTCCCCAATCCCGGTCCTGAACTTGGGAATGAAAGCAATGTAGACACAGGAGGGAAATGGAAGTCCAAGAGGGTCCCAGGGCCCTGCCCTTGGTCTACCTGCCACCCTCTGGGTATTCCGTGGGCCAGAGGGCGCTGGGCTCAGGCTCAGGGCTGCCCTGAGCCTGGAGAATCCTGGAAGGGCAGAGGGAGACCCTGCACGGGCCTAAGCCCCTTCAAACTCTGTTTTCTCACTACCATCCACCCACTTCTCAGAGGGGAGCGCTGAGGCCCGGCAGGCCCAGAGCAGGGAAGGAGCTTCATCATGGCCACATGGCCAGAGGCAGCAAGGCCAGGGCCCAGCTCGGTCACCTAGACTGCGTGTGTCACCCCCTACCCCACCCACCCCGTGTCACTAACTCATCAGCATCCGTGCTACATGCCATCTGGGCCCTGTGTTGGGGACCAGGGACTGCGGTTGGCGGGTGGGAAGAGAGCGTCTGTGTCTTTTTAAACCCTGGATTCTGCTTGTTTGCATACCTGTGTTTTTTACCAAAGAAAATTGATATTTTCATGGCTTTTCTATAAATACAGTTGGGATCTCACGGTCCGCCTGCAGGTGCTTTCCCACCTAACTAACCTTCGCCTTTGCTTGAGTGGGCGCAGGTGGGGTGTCTTACGGTTCCCGGCTCCACCCCTGAGGCCACCACCACCCAGCAGCATGTCGGGGACCCCACAGGTGGCTCTTCTGTCCAGGGGAGTGGGAGTGGCCTCATAGTGGGGGATAGAAATGTGCCCAGCTGCGTGTGTGTGCATGTGCATGCATGCATGCATTCGTATGTGGGTGTGTGGGCACACACCAGTGTGAGAGACAGAGAAGGTGGCAGATGGGGCAGGGAGGAAGGAGAGAGACACTAGTAGAGAGAGTAACAGAGAGAGAGACCAAGAGCGAGAGAAGGTGATGGACAGAGCAGGACGGAAGGAGAGAGACTGAGCAGAGAGAGGGGGCAGGGAGGAGAGAGAGAGAGGAGACAGCTAACTGGGCAGGGAGGAGGGACAGGGAGAGACACAGTGTCACTACTGGTTGCCCCCTTTTTCTACAAAAAAGATGGGTGGGGGTGGGGGGTGGCCAGGAGATCCAGGGAGGTGCGGGAGGCAAGGGAGCCCTGTGAGCTTGGGCGGAGCCGGCCAGCCCCTGGCGATCACTCTAGAAGCCATGTTTCATCCCATCCCCACAAGCCTGGGTTTGGGATTGCTCTGTGCCAAGAAAGGGAGGCTTGAAGAGCCTGGCCTGTGGCAGAGGTGGGTGTGAGCGGAGCTTGTCTGGCCCCACAACCTGTGCCTGGGGCAGAGTGGCTGCCAACGCTGGGGACAGGTTTCTGGCCAGTGCTCGGGCAAGAGGGGTCCCAAGCTTGTCTCTGCCAGTCTCCACCAAGGGACGGCTCCTCTGCTGAGAAGGGCAGCCACCAGGAGCCCAGTTACCCTCTCAGCCTTTGGGGGCGCTGAGGGGGTAGGCACCTCCATCCCTCTGCAGGGCTGTGTACCGAGGGCAGGGGGGACCCTCCCCTGTGCTCCCAGAGGCGAAGGGGGTTTCTGAAGCCAGCTGCCCCACCTAGACTCTAAGGCAGAGTGACCTCTTCAGTCTCCTCGGCACAGTGCTGTCCTGGGTGGGGATGGGGATCTGAGGATGCCCCGCCCTGGGCAGCACAGAGGAAGGGGGCTGGGGAAGCTTTGCATCCAGCGATGGGGCCGGTCCCTAATCCTGCCCACCCTGCAGGCTGGGGCACCAGTCTGGCCCACAGGTGGGAGTCTTGCTCCTGCACCAGTACAACATTACGTCTGACAGACACCAACCTGGCTTGTCAGGCAAGGGGCCGTTTTCCTGCCCTGACCTTGAGGCAGGAGCCCTGGTAGTGGCGTTGGGCTGTAATCTGCAAGGTCTGAAGTTCCAGACCACCAGCCACTCCTTGGGAGAAAGTGGGTCCTTTCTACTCCCAGAAACTCACAGGGGCAGTTGGACTCGGTCCTGTAAGGTCACTATGAGTTGGCATTAACTCGATGTCATTGAGTGTGGAGTCTTTTTGGACCTGGTAGGCAGGGCCTCCTTCTGTCTGGCCCTTTCCTGGCTTGGGCATGGCCCTGGCTTGGCTAGACCATTGGGTTTAAGTCCTGACCCTGGTACACCAGCACGCTGAGCCTATTGGTTGTCATGGTAACATCATCACTGGTCAGGGCTTGGTACTTGAGCTCCTTGTCCAGACAGGTCTGGAGCTCCTTGGGGTGAGGCTTCAGCTCTGGGGGGGATCTTGGGTTCACAGGGACAGTAGGCCCTCTCCTCAGGGTGCAGACGGCCCTTCTGTCCCTCTTGCAGAACGAATTGGCCACTCACTCCTTCCGACAGCCCAGGCTGTTAAGCCCTGACCTTGTTTGCAGAAGCATGGTGTGGCTGAGCGGCCGCCTAAAAACCACCAGCAGTCAGAGTGGGGCCACTGGAACTTGAATGGGAACGGGGGTGGGGGGTAGGGGGAGTGGGGGCTGAAGCCCAGGTTCTTTTTGCCACCATGTGGAACTTTCCAGCTGCCTCGCTGGCCTTTCTGTCCTTGGGGGACCTCAGGCTACTGCTGCTTTAGAAGCTGGGGGGCTGTCAGGGGTGGTGTGGCCTTCCTGGGCAGGGAAAACGGTTTCAGGGTTTCCTCCCCCAGGGTCTCCTCACTCACCTCTGTGAGGGCTTCTTCCACTTCCACCACCCTTGAAGGCTGCCATAGCCAGGAGGGAGTGTCAGGGAGGGGGTGGAGGCAGGCACTTGCCTGGAGGAGACAGAAGAGGGTCTGGCTTTGTGGACAGGGCAGGGTGTGAGCCTGTGCTTGCTCAAGGGTGTGTGCAGATGTGAGTGCGTGTGCATCTGAATGGCGTGCGTGCCTGTGTGAACATGATAGGACTGTGTGGGTGTGGTGTGTTTTTGCACATGTGTCTGTGTCCCTCACTGACATCTCCGGCCCAAAACACAGTGGGCAGCGCTGGACCCAGGAACCCGGGGCAACAGTGGCTCTTATGGGAGATACTGGGGGCCTCTTGGCCTTCTCCCCTGTCTGGGAGCGGGGCTAGCCAGGCCTCAGCCTCCACCATCTGTCTGGAAAAGTCTGGGGCTGGCCTGGAAAGGAGGCCCCTCGTTATCTCAGGGTAGAAGTAGAGGCAGCTAATTTCTGCTCAGCTCTGTGGGTTCTAAACCTGCCCAGTTCTCTCGTGTGTGTGTGTGTGTGTGTGTGTGTGTGTGTGTGTGTGTGTAGTAACGCTGGTAGCATTTACTGAGCACCTAAGAAGCTAACAGAGAGGCCAGCAGTGCAAACCCACCATCCACTTCCGGGGAGGAAGAGGAAGCTGTCTGCTCACTTCCAGATTGACAGTCCTGGACACCCTGGGTAGCGTAGCCCTGAATCAGAATTGATTCGATGGCAGTGGGTTGGGTTTGGGGGTCAGGTGTGAGGAAAGCACTCAGCTGCCAACTGTAAGATTGGCGGATCAAACACACCCGCTGCTCCAAGGGAAACTGAAGTGGCGTCCGCTTCTGTCCCGTTCAGTCTGGGAAGCCCAGGGGGCAGATCTCCTCCAGCTGGTCAGGTCACACTGAATCGGAGTTGTCTGCAAGGTAGCAGGCTTGCCTGGCATTTCGGGGGGCAGAATCAGGGACAATGGATGTTTCCCACCTGACTTCAAGTCCCGAAGATCAACCTTTTCCTGATGAGAGGGCTGCTGTCCCACAATGCAGCGACTTTCCCACCTGTGGGAAGTGGGGGGCACCCAGAAGCCAGGTGAGAAGTCTGGTGTTTCCCCCATCCCCAGTCTCCCCTCAGCTGTAGGCCTGGCCTCCTCAGGGCCCACCTGGTGGCTCAGCCCTACACACCCACCGCCAGAAGACCAGGCTCACCTGGGCCAACCTGCCAGTTTACCCTGTGCTTGCCTCCCAGGATGCCAACCTGGTAGCTGTCTACTGGACAGAGATGAGCAGTTCGTCCAGGTGAACCAGGCGATGGTGCATCAGTGTGTGTGTCTGTTAGGGTGTGTGTACATGTGCACACTGTTAGCATGTGCGTGTAAGTGTGCATAGCACGCATGTGTATGTACATCTGTTACCGTGAGTGTATGTGCACATTGATAGCGTGAGCATGTACATACATATGCCTGTGTGTATATGTGTGCATAGTGTGTATGTGCAGGTTATTTGTGTGTGTGTGTGTGTGTGTGTATGTGTGTGTGCACGCATGCACTGAGGTGCTTTCTGGTATCAAAAGCAGACTGGCTTTGCCGCCTCAGACGTTCAACGCTGGGTACAGCAGGCACAGGGGCCCCTAGCCCCTGGTTTGTGACAGCAAGGCGTGCCTTGTCAATCAACTGAGCTCCCAGCGAAGGCGGGCAGCACGGCTCAGATGACTCTCCCAGCCCACATGCGTGCTATCTCGAGCCCCGTCAAGCCCAGAGCCGCCAGACGGACAGATGAGTTGGTGGCTGCCACCCTCTCTGCAGCTGGCCTCAGTGCCATGTGTGCAGGAGACTCGGGGTCTCCTCGCCCCGCGGCCCCGCGGGACGGAACGAACAATGCCGGGAGAGGTTCCGTAGTTGTCTTCTTCCTGCAGTTTTTTAAAAAACGCATTTGCTTTATGGAAATAAAAATATCTATATTTTGGTCTATAAAACGTGGCATGGTGTGGAAATTCTTCTTTTGAAGGAGAGGGCTGGTCCGAAGGGGCACAAGGTGCAGGATGGCGGGTGCCGGGCAGCCTTCTTTACCATCATCCCGGTGGACCCAGGAACCCGTTTGCCCGGGGGCGGGCCAAGCTCAGGGCAGGTGGTGGTTGTGAGGTGCTGTGAAGCTGGGTCCCACTCAGGACAACAGGATGGAACATTGCCCGGTCCCGTGCCAGCCCCGCCCCCACCCCGTGGTTGCAGCCCACTGTGCCAGTCCATTTCTGCGAGGGCTGCCCTTTTTGGTTGAACTCACGACTTTACCCAGCGTGATATCCCTTTCCAGGGACTCATCCCACTGCCATGAGTCAGTTCTGACCCACAGCGACGTGACAGGACAGAGCAGAACTGCCTCTGGGGGCTTCGGAGCCCCTAAGTCTTTACCGGGCAGCAGACGGCCTCGTCTTTATCTTGATCACCAGGGACGGGTCTGGAGAGATGACACTCTCAAAGTGCAGGAGACCAAGTCTCGCGAGATGACACTCTCAAAGTGCAGGAGACCAAGTCTCGCGAGATGACACTCTCAAAGTGCGGGAGACCAAGTCTCGCGAGATGACATGCCCAAAGTGCGGGAAACCAAGTATCGCGAGATGACACTCTCAAAGTGCGGGAGACCAAGTCTCGCGAGATGACATGCCCAAAGGGCGGGAGACCAAGTCTCACAAGATGACATGCCCAAAGTGTGGAAACCAACCCACCCACATGTGGTTTCTGGATTTCCTGGGAGCTACGAATGGCGGTTCTCAGTGCATGACGACAGCAGGGTCACGCGGCTGCCACTTCGGAACATCCCCTGAGGGAGAGGTGAGCCTTCAGGGCGTCGAGCCCTGGTGAGTCCGGGCAGAACTATGCTCCGTCCGTCCGGTTACTGGGGGTGATTTCGCCACACTGTTCTCCAGGCCTTTCTTCCAAGGCACCTTGTAGAGAACTCCAATCTCCAACCGTTCCCGCCAGCAGCTGAGCCCCTTAATTGTACCAACTCCGCCAAGAAGACCCAGGTTCACTGCATCCCTCAATTCTGACTCTTAGCGACCCAATCGGATGGGGTAGAACTTCCGGTGGTGTTTCTAAGGCAGTGTGTTAGGCCGGGTTGCCTAGAGAAACAAATCCAGGGGCGTTCATGTATGTATAAGAGAGCTTTATATCAAAGAGCGATTGTATGTTAAGATAACATCCCAGCCCAGTCCAGATCAAGCCCGTAAGTCCGATATTACCCCATATGCCCAACACCAG